GGATGCAAGAACATGACATAAAGAACATGAACGTTGCGACCTCGTTGTGACTTTGCTAGTTGAATAAACTTCATCACATGACTCATTCAGGTCTTTTTTCTGAGTCACGTAACCTATAGCTTTCTTTATTTGAGGATCTTGAATGCAGACGGGCAAAAAATTGACATTCATATGTGTGACTCTTCACAAAGTTCTGAACCTTTCCACGCTGACACTCACGGAAAGTCTGCTCCCAATGGGTCTTCACAATTCCTCGTCTTAACTTCTTCAAGCCTACCGCGTGAATCAAGACTTGCGCCTTGCCATCACTAAAACAGGACGGAAAACATTTTCAAAACTTGGCATCGAAGTCGCCATTCGCAGAAGGCGGAAACAATGTACCCCACATGAAAGAAGGAGGACTTTATCATAAGTTCTACCGCAGAATATGCATCCACAATTTCACAAACATCGACGTCGGGCACGGGCCAAAGCACACGACAAATACCCAGGCACTGAGGGCGCCTTCTTTGTTCATGCAGCTGGACCAGTAAGCGGCCAATAGACGGCAACCATCATTCATCAAGGAAAACAGAAATACTGTATATCAGCACAGGACAGGGGCGCACCAAGCATGGAAAAACCAGGAATTGCCCGCGCCCTACAAAACCCCAAATCCACCTTCATTCTCACAAAATCACAAGCAATCTACCAAAATTTCTGCAAAGGCTACACGGCGTCATTGCGCACCGAGTCCTTAGACAGCTATCAGCTCGACGTTCAGAGGAAGACTGCAAACAGCTGATATTAATACTTCTTCTAAGGGGGAAGATAGTCTTCTAAGGGGGAAGATCGATAAGCCAAAATTTCCAGCCAGAAATCCTCACGGCCCTCCGTAGTTTTCTTCAAAATTCGTTTCCCAATCTCTACGCCTTTTCGGCTAAGCCGTTAGAGCGGGAGAAATTCGGGCTAGATGTTATATGTTCGAAGTCGAACCGTTTTGCGAATGCAGCAAATTCACTCGAAGAAAATTGGGGCCCGTTTGCGGTGCAGACTTGCGCAGGGATGCCACAGCGAGAAAATATGGCGGATATCTTAGAAATAGTTTCTGCTGCTGTTGTGCTCACCAGTCTTTCGACATCTGGGAAGTTCGACTGGTCGTCATACACCACGACGTAGGAGTCCCCGGCAAACTGAAACAAGTCAATTCCGACCCGATACTATGGTCGTCTCGATGTAGGCCGTTGTAGAAGGGGCTCGCTCGACTGGCTGTAGGCATATTTTTGACACACCTGGCATGTTCGTACTAGGTTCTCAATGTTACTGCCTAGTACTGGCCAAAAAACTAGCCTACGTGCCCTGGCCTTGCATTTGTTCTGTCCCACGTGGCCCTCGTGTATCCGCCCCAGAATTTCTGATCTCATACTTTTCGGCACGACGATCTTGCTCCTTTTTAACAGTACGCCGTCCACTGCCGATAACTCTGATGTCAATGGCTTTAGTTCCCCTTTAATCGTCGCACCCATTTTTAGTTGCTCTAACACGCTGCTTAAATACGGGTCGGCACGGGTCTCTTCTTGAAGTCGTTGCTTTGTTCGTCTGCTTACCAGGCTCGAAACCACCTGAATGGCGTGGACCTCAATGTCTTCCGATTCATCAGCGGCCCCAGGCAGCGTGGCAGTACGGGACAGCATGTCTGCGAGCACCAGGTCTTTCCCAGGGATGAAATGCAAGACATAGTCGTGTTTAAAAAGACGGATGAAAAATCGTTGCAGTCTTGGTGGCATGTCCGCAACACTTCTTTGGGCGATAGCAATCAGAGGCCTGTGATCAGTTTCGACAAGAATCCTGCGGCCATAGACAAACGGGTGAAACTTTTCGCACGCAAATACTATAGCCAGCGCTTCCTTTTCAATTTGAGCATAGCGTGCTTCACTCTCGCTCAAAACCCGCGATGCGTACGTGACTGGGCGCCAGTCGTTTCCGTGTTTTTGCAGCAAGGCGGCACCAATCCCGCTTTTAGAGACTGCTAGTATCGGTGGGTTCATCAATGCGTTTCAGATCTGAGCCCACTCGTGCGTGTGTGCTGACATTCATTCGAACACCACGCTTTCCTTCAAAAGGCCCCGAAGTAGTGACGTCCTGTCACTGAGCGATGGTACATACTTGCGGAAATAATTCACAATGCCCAACATTCTGCGAACTGCCTGTTTATCTTTTGGTTGCGGTATAGCCTGTATGCTCTCGATTAAGTCTGGACTGGGACGGACACCGCTCTCGCTGATCACGTCACCAAGAAATGCTATCTGTGTCACACAACATATACATTTTTGGGTGTTAAATGTCATCCGAGCTTGCTCCGCTCCGTTTAGTACGGCTTTCAGCCGTTTATTATGCTGCTCTGTCGAATCCCCACAGATTAGTATATCATCAATGTATACACGCACGCCTGTCAGGCCTTCAAAAATTTCTGTTAAAGTCTTCCTGAAGACCTCAATTGCTGAAGAAATTCCAAATGGCATTCGCAAGAACCTGTAGCGACCAAAAGGTGTTGCGAAGGTGCACACGCGTGACGTAGCCTCGTCCAACGGTATCCGATGGAAGCCTGCGTTTGCGTCTAGCCGGGAAAAGTACCTTGCGCCCGAGATTTCACTTTCCATGTCCTCCCGAGATGGCATTGGATAATGTTCGCGCTTTATGCTTTTGTTTATGACCCTTGGGTCTATACATAAGCGAAGACGGCCATCCGTTTTCCTTACTACAACTAAAGGGCTTACCCAATTGGTAGGCTCGTCCACTTTCACGATGATAGAGGCCCTTTCCACGTGGTTCAGCCCCTCACGAAGCTGCTCCTTGATCGCCAATGGTACCCTCCGGGCAGGCTGCACTACCGGAATGGCATCCGGTCACAGTACCAACTTTTACTGTCACTTTACACAGCCAGTTCCGCGAAATAGGCGTGGAAAAGCCAGCTGGGGAGCGTCTTCTCTTGAGTCTACCGCATTCACTGTTGGAATCAGTCCGAATTCTTGACATGCCTTGAGACCAATGATGGCATTGCGACCTTTCTTCACAATAAAAAATGCAACGTGACGTTCTCGGCCGCTTAAATTCAGGACTTCTGTTGATACTCCCTCGTGCTTGATAATGCTTCCGTTATATGCAGTAAGAACTGCCATGCTTTTTCTTGGCTCCGTTGCTCGGTTGACACGCCGGAACAAATACAGAGGTAGTAGGTTGGCTTGTGAGCCAGTATCTATTTTAAATTTCAGTTCTTGGCCGCCTATCTTGGCGCGCACTGTCCAATCTGCTCCCACACCATCCGCCACGCCGCACACGCTGATGTTCAAGATATCGAAATTATCATCCGCCTCTTGGGCATCATCCACTTGGTTAACCTGACGCTTTCTGCAACACGCCGCAAAATGATTCTTTTTCTTGCACACGCAGCAAAACTTTCCCCGAGCTGGACATTCTTCTCGAGCATGGAATCTTCCGCACTGACGACATCGAGACCAGTTTTTGCTGGCTTGTTGTGTTCTTCTCGTGTACTCCACTTGCCGGGTTTCCTTCGACCACTCTGCATTTTGCTGCGCAGATACTTCGGCTGCTTTGCACATTTGATCAGCTTTCTGCAAAGTAAGGTCCTTCTCGCTGAGCATTCTCTGTCCGAGTTTTTTATCGCTGATCCCAAATACCACTTGATCCCTTATCATGGATTGTTCAAGGTCCGCAAAGTTGCAGAGTTTCGCTTGCTTCTTGATGTCCCTCAAAAATCTTTCAAACGGTTCTGCCTCCTCTTGCACTCGAAGGCGGAACACATGCCATTAGTAAACTTCATTGCCTTGCTGGACGCAGTACTTTTCAAACTTTTTGACCAAAGTTCGATAATCTTCTTTGTTCTCACCTTTGGAAAACTTGAAGTTGTTGTACACGTCCAGGGCATCGTCACCTGCGGCGCTGAGGAGTATGGCCGCTTTCACAGCTTCTGTCCTTGGATTTTCAGAGGATGCGGCTGTGAGGAAGAGCTCCAACGTTTGTTTAAACTGCAGCCAGTTTCTTCTCAGGTTTCCGGAAAGCTGCAGTGGTGGTGGGGGCTTGACGACGTCCATTTTGCCGCCGAGACAAACCCTTCTGACAACATGCAACGCGTTCGATGTAACGAACTGAGGCGACACGTTGCTGAACGAGGAATGACCCATTGGTTGTTTATTCATGACGTTTATATAGCTGCGTGGGCAGCGAGGGGAAGGGAGAGACAAGGAAGGAAGTGGCAAGCGGTATACACGCACATGCGCGATAGCCCGTTCTGATACAAACACAACATGAAAGCGTGGGAGGCCGCTCTACCAACCTTGGATCTGAAGACCCAGGAGGTTTTCGTGAAACATGCGAGGACTGCGGCCCGCTCCAAGAGATTCTTAGACTAAGGATGCCACTGAGCGATGTACTCGCGCAGTAAATCTTCATGAACGCTTTATTCTCACTGACACCAGAATCCCATTCTTTGATATTTTTGCGCAAAACATCAAATAAATGTTGTATTCACTCCCTCCGGACGCAAGACTACATTCATTCGTTGAAATTTGCAGCGAATCATGCAGATACAGGGCCAGTTTTTTATTAAAAATTCACATGAAGATGACTGGAGTTTTGTGTGTGTTTTCCTACGAAGCGTCGCCCTATTGCTGAATAATTCGCTTGTAAATCTCATACATGTTTTGCTGCTCATAGTAGAATTGTCATGGTTAGACATCGCCAGCAATTCTTGCCTAAGATTGCGCACATGTGCGAACTGTCTGCAGTGGATTCACCATTGTTCAAAAAACGTCGTGTGTCATAGCTACTCTGATACAAACTTTTGGACTGGTACAATCAATTGTGTTTTCTTGAACACTTCCCCGAAATAACAGCTTGGAATAATTTTTTGGACAACGAGTTGAAACAAAGCTTGAAAGAACAACGTTCTATGCCGTCTAGTCACCATATGCTACATATAAAGGGTGCAACCACGTGTGATATCTGTTTATTTCCCATTTTCGCGGTGTGCGTCGGCAGTACTATAATGATAACACGAGACGTACTCTTTGTAGTTCTGCTTAGCACAAGTTATAACTTGCAATACAGCTTTTCAATATTTATAAAGGAAAATGAATTGAAAGAGGTAAGGTCACGTTTTTTTACCTCGACAGATTTCTTTAGTTTATTGGCAGGTTTTACGATTACAGTAATTATCACTACGACTTGCCATGTTGTTCACTAAGTTTGTGAAAGACGCCATTTTGGAACCAGTGTAATTGCGTACGGTGATATAAAATGGATCAGCTAAATGCCAATTTTCTTTTGATATACAGTCAGGAAATGCAACATGTAATTAGGTAGAAATGTATCTTTCACTTGCACATCCAATAAGCCATTCATTGCCACCGCAAAGTATTGTGTTTTCACACTTTTGTGTCGGCTTTCTGTGGTATGCCTTCTTAAAATGTAGCTGAGAGTTTTGTACAGGACCATTGGCACGCATTGTGAAACAGCACTTGAGTGTTAGCAACAAATTGAAGATCTTTGTGCATGGTCGTTACGTCGAAGGAAACTGCACGCGCGATACATTATGATCGTTGAGAAGTTTTGTTTTCACTACTCTGCATCTGGAAAACTGACATGATATTTAGGCCCTTACAAAAATCGAACCAACCTAAAATGGCAGATGTAGTGATTTTTTTAAGGAGCAGTCATTTGTTCTACTTGTCTGGTAATTCCCTAATTTGAAATTCACTACTAATGACATTTTAAAACATACTGAAGAAGATGATACTGCTACGTACCTAAAACTTATTGGTCCATAGTGAGCATCAAGTGATTATGGAATTCGCGAGTCGCTTAGTTAACTTGTGTTTTTAGGGCGTTCTGGGGAAATTTCATGTATTGCAAAAATGAATTGGGCATGTCTAATCTGGAATGTTCTTAACAGTGCTCGCAGGCGCAAAATTATTCACCGTAAGCACCCTCAGGCAATCTCCTGCGTAGCACCCGATGAATGCTATAGCTTACCAAAACTAAATGATTTATGTGCATGATTCATTTCATCTGCTTCTTAGCTAGAATATTTGATGATGATAATAATTGGATCAGGCTGTATTTTTGCTGGTCGTATGCAAAACTGGCCGAAGTGGTAGGTGAAGTTTTGGATTTCATGGTGCATCTAAGGTTTTCCGTTAGTAACCTCTCGCACACCACCTGAACGCATCCAGTCTACAAGAACTGGACCGTCGCTTTCAATGAGCAAAAGAAGGAGAATCTAACAGCTACTTCTCCTGTGATAGAATTCGAATGACAACAAAAACACAATTGAGCCAAGGAAGGTATAGCAGAAATTCCCAATGCTATTTACCGCGTGCTTACAGGAGATTTTCAGAGGCCTAGAATGGGAAGCGGTAGGGACAAGAGTTAATTGAAAACACCTTAGTAACCTGCGCTTCGCCGACGACATAACATTGCTGAATTACTTAGAGGAGGAATTGCAACTCAACATTACTGAATTGGAAAAGGAGGGCAGAAAGGTAGGCCTCAAAACTATTCTGCTGAAAACGAAAGTAATAAGCAACAACCTCGGAAGATAACAGTGCTTCGCGATGGGTAATATTGCACTTGAAGTAGTGAAAGACTACGTCTATTTAGGATAGGTAATAATCACGGAGCCAAGCCACAAGATTGAAGTAACTAGAAGAATGAAAATGGCGTAGAGGAAATTCCTCCAGCACTCTCAAATTATTATCGGCAGATTAACACTATCCCTCAAGGCGAATGTATGTAACAGTTGCATCTTGCCGGTTTTTACCTACGGGGCAGAAGCCTGAAGACTTACAAAGAGCAATCAGCTTAAATAGAGGACGACACGGCGAGCGATGCAAAAGAAAATGATGAATGTAACCTTAAGAGACAATCAGGGAACAAACCGGAGTCCCGAATATCGTGGTTGAAATCAAGAAGAGGAAATGGACATGGCCCGGGCATGTAGCGCATGGAAATGATAACCATTGGACATTGGGGATAACTGACTGGATTCCCCTTGAAGGCAAGCGGGTTAGGGGGAGATGACAATTAGGCGGGAAGATGATATTAAGAAGTTTGAGGGTATAAAGTGGCAGCAGCAAGCACTGGGCCTGGTTGACTAGTGGATCATGGGGAGGCTAGTCCATTCGTTGTTCTGATGCTAGTCAGTTTTGCCAGAGTTATGTTACTGTTCAAGGCGGAAGTACTTTGAACCTTCCTAAATGCATCACTATTACCTGCCTCCGAAATAGGTGATTTCCTCTGAAAAAGAACGCTAATTATAGTACATGGAAATATTCCCTCAAGGAGAGCACCCGGCGCTCCCGTCGTTCTTAAAATGTTGGCTTGCCTTGTACAGTCATCTTGCTCACCAAAATTCGAACCTATAATGCAGTAATTTGAATAAAACTTGCACGTAAAACAACCTGATATAACAATTTTATTGTCAGTTTTTTTTTGTTCTGTTCTTTTATAATGCTTATGCGACTGTATCTGTTAGTATCGCATCTAATATAGCATCTCTGGACTGCTTGAACGACGCAGAGGCTTGTTTAACCACTTGCGAGACGGTGCCACACGCCTTGGGGAGCAGTAAAAGGGTGGCTCCCCGTGTGTAATTTCACGTATGCCTTGGAAATCGTAGTCGGAGTATCCACTGTGTGCCCCTGGGAGCAAATATTTTATTTAAAGGGCCTGTTGTGCTGTTATTGCGTGGTTATATCTTGAAAGGAGCACCTGATGACCATTAGGTTTGCACATCTTGTGCTCAAGCAGAATCTTTTGCCACATCATGAAACGTTACTTCACTTCGTAGCGCCCCGCCGCGGTGGTCTAGTTGCTAAGGTATTCGGCTACTGACCCGCAGGTCGCGGGCTCGAATCCCGGCTGCGGCGGCTGCATTTCCGATGAAGGCGGAAATGTTGTAGGCCCGTGTGGTCAGATTTAGGTGCACGTTAAAGAACCCCAGGTGGTTGAAATTTCCGGAGCCCTCCACTACGGCGTCTCTCATAATCATATGGTGGTTTTGGGACGTTAAACCCCATATACCAATCAATCAATCACTTCGTAGCACATTCGTGCTTGCTAAATAAGTGGGCTGCACTCCTCATTTCTACAACTTTTTATTTTGTTGCTATCGCATTCATCGCTTCGCCCTGTGACAAAGTTATGACGCGTGTATGTGTTTGTGTGTGTGTAGGTGTGCGTGTGCGTGTGTATTTGTGCGTGTGTGTGTGTGCTTGTGTGTGTGTGCTCGTGTGTGTGTGGTGTATGTGTATGTATGTGTGCGTGTGTGTGTGCGTGTGTGTGTGTGCGTGTGTGTGTGTGCACGCGTGCGCGCGTGCGTGTGTGTGTGCATGTGTGCGTGTGTGTGTGTGTTTGTGCGTGCGTGCGTGTGTGTGTGTGCATGTGCGTGTGTGCATGTGTGTGTGCGTGTGCGTGCGTGTGTGCATGAGTGTGTGTGCATGCGTGTGTGCGTGTTTGTGTGTGTGCGTGGGTGCGTGTGTGTGTGTGCGTGTGTGTGTGTGTGCATGTGTGTCTGGGTGCATGTGTGTGTGCGTGTGTGTGTGTGTTTGTGTGTCTGTGTTTATGTGTGTGTTTGTGTATGTGTGTGTGTTTGTGTGTGTGCGCGCGCGCGTGTGTGTGCGTGTGCGTGCTTGTGCGTGTGCGTGCTTGTGCGTGTGTGTGTGTTTGTGTGTGTGTGTATTTGTGCGCGTGTGTGTGGGTGTGTTTGTGTGTTTGTGTGTGTGGTGTATGTGTATGTGCTTTTTCCGCCCCCTATATGTAAAAATAACTAAAAGTAAAAAGGGGGTAGCCCGTACCACCAGGAGGTATAACGGGCTCAAGCCAATCTAACATAAATGAAGAGGGGAAACTTCCCAAATTTTTATTTTTATTTGAAAAAGTCAATTAGTTAAAAAAATATTATGGCTAAAACCTAGTGAGTGCAGCATGAAACTGTAATAAATAAACTAGTTAGCTTCTCAGGAATGAGCAGGTCGATATGCAGCAGCAGTGTATTTCCCCCACTTGAGTTTTTGGAGTTCGTGTGTGTGTGTGCGTGTGTGTGTGTGTTGCGTGTGTGTGTGTGTTTGTGTGTGTGTGTGTGTGTTTATTTTAAATGCATTGACGTTGAATGCAGAAAGTCCAAAAACAAACAACGAAGTGGGAGGCGAGCCAGTGGTCTTGAGGATGAGTAAACGTTGACGAGGATGGTAGCAGTGGCCTCTGTGATGTCGAAGCCCATTGCTTCACCAGGAGTTATGTAACCAGGCACGTCGGGCTGTCGTTCCAACCAGCGAAGCAGCAGGGAACCTTGGGCAGCCTGTTTGCCGCTGCGAACTTAGACAAGGCGCCATTCGCAATAGTAACAAGCTTTTAAAAAAAAGGGGGGGGGGGCAGGATTAGGTACTTGCGCAAGCGTTGCGAATGCTATGGTTCGAGTACTAGGGAAAATGGAGCAGTAATGCTATCGTTATCAGTCGCCGAGGTTTTCCCCCACCTTTGTTGGCATAACTGCGACTGTAATCAAGAGCATTCACGCAAAAGTTGTGATAGGGAGGTGATTCGGAGTATGAAGCGACGTCCTGATAAAGTGTTGGTAGCTAATACATGTCATGTGGATGTCATAGAAACAGAGTTGCGCATGACAGTCACTAACTGAAGTAGATACGCGCGAGATTTTTTATTGGTCAATAGCCCATAATAATGCGCAGGTAGCGTTGTATCACTTTTCGGCACACGTAAATGGGTCACAATGTGTTGCGTATTTGTGAGTGAGAATTTATTAGAAGGCAGAGAGGTCGGCCTGAGCTAGTTCGCTCTAGCCTGCTACTCTACACAGGGGATAAGGGAAAGGGGAAGGAAAGAGGGATGAAGGGTGATGATGGGGACAAGAAGAGGTGGTGCGTATGTACAGTAGCCACTTAGCATAGTACTCTACAGTCTAGTTTCCAGTCCAGTGGTTTTTATAAAGTCTAGAGCAGCCTTTGTAGCAGTTTTTGACACTGTTTGGTCGTTCATTGCTGACAATATGTGGCTTTCACTTAATGGTGTTCGTCCAATGCTTGCCAACGTTGCAGTGAGCATTTTTCTTTGCGCCACGTATAATGC